AGGAACACTGAATGGTTTAAAATTAAGAAAGGTGTGTGTTCTTACACCACACTTATTCAACCTGTATGCTGAGCAAATAATCCGAGAAGCTGGGTTATATAAAGAAAAATGTGGCATCAGGATTAGAGGAAGACTCATTAACAACTTGTGATATGCAGATGATAGAACCTTGCTTGCTGAAAGTGAAGAAGACTTAAAGTATTTACTGATGAAGATCAAACAGCAAAGCCTTTGGTATGGATTACATCTCAATGTAAAGAAAACAAAAATCCTCACCACTAGACCAATAAACAACATTCTTATCAATGGAGAAAAGATTGAAGTTGTCAAGGACTTCATTCTTTTTGATCAACTTTCAACACTCATGGAGGCAGCAGTCAGGAAATCAAATGACTTATTGCATTAGGCAAATCTGCTGCACAAGAACTTTTTAAAGTGTTTAGGAGCAGGGATGTCAGCATGAGGACTAAGGTGTGCCTGACCCAAGCCATGGTATTTTCAATAATCTCGAAAAAGCTGGACAGTGAATAAGGAAGACCGTGGAAGAATTGATGCTTTTGAGTTATGGTATTGGAGGAGAATATTGAAAGTGCTAGGAGCTGCCAAAGGAACCAACAGATCTGTGTTGGAGAAGAACAGCCACAATGCTCCATGGAGGCCAAGTTTGGGAAACTTTGTCTCACATACTTTGGACATGTTATCAGGAGAGACCAGTACTTGGAGAAGGACACCATTCATGGTAAAGTGGAGGGTCAGTGAAAAAAAGGAAGACCCCCAATGAAATGCACTGGCACAGTTGAAGCAGCAATGGGCTGAAGCGTAACAACAATTTTGAGTATGCTGCTGTTCCGGACAATGTTTTGTTCTGCTGTGGATAGAGCTTCTCTGAGTCAGAATTGACTCAATGGCACTTAACAAAGCCACAACTAATTCATTAGAATGCACAGAAAAAACTGTGTAATATTTCACCAGGCATGTACAGATACAGAACTAAAGTAAAAAAATATGTAGTACCTGTGTCATTTTTGTAAATTTAATCTGGAAGATTCTGTGTTCATAGACTATGAATTAAATTAGAAAAATCCACTGAGTTATTTCTCACAGAGAAACGTCCTATTCAACCTTCCCTAATAACTTTCTTATTTGTAGTTATTGAGTTATTCAACTAACAGAGTAACCTATTTTTTCTTGTTGGTAAAATTGAAATTGAGAGGCGACAATATTGTTTACAGCCAAAATAGTTGTGACAGATAGGAGATTGACAATAGTCAAAGGACAAATATTTTATATGCTTAATTTATAACAAATATGTATCATGGAGCTCTGGTAGTGTAGTGGTTACGAATCAGGCTGCAAACCGTAAGGTCAGCAGTTCAAAACTACCAGCTGCTCCATGGGAGAAAGATGAGGCTTTCAGCTCCCGTGAAAATTTACAGCCTCGGAAACCCTGTAGAGGGTCTCTATGGGTCGGAACCGACTCGATGGCACTTAACAACAACAACAACATGTATCATGGATTATATAAAGGCCTAAGCAAAGGTAAGGGGCCTGTGCACTCATAATGCTTTTAATTTAAAAGAATTATAAATAAAGTATTATAAGAACAATGCAAGGCCTAAGAGAAACCTCCTGCTTACAATGACTACACGATGAATCAAAGGTTCACATTAGGAAGCAACCAGTAAAAGGTACTTTGCCTTTCTGTAAAGATTTTTTTTCACAGAGAATACACAGAAAGCAAGTAGAAGTATTAAAGTAGTAAAAAAAAAAAGTGAAAATCTTGGGTCTTACACCCCAGTTCATGATGGTTATATGCCCTTAGGCAGGTAACAAAATCTTCCATTGGATTTCCTCACATGAAAAACAGGAATGGAAATTCAGAAGTGTCTATTTAGACAGTTACTGAGATATTCAAACAAGATAATATAAGTCTGAAATAATTTTTTTTAAAGTGGCATCGAGATCTGATTCTTCATTTACTAGCCAGCTGCTATATTATAAAGGAAAGCAATATACATATAGTTGTTGTTGTTATGTGCCGTGGAGTCAGTTCTGACTCATAGTGACCCTGCACAGGGTTTCTGAGGGTGTACATCTTTACTGGAGCAGAAAGCCTCATCTTTCTCCCACGGAACAGCTGGTAGTTTCGAACTGCTGACCTTTTGGTTTGCAGCCCAATACGTAACCACTACGCTACCAGAGCTCCTTGGCAGAAAACTATACTCAAGCATTTTAGGATAAAAAACATGAGATACAGAAATGAAAAGGGCAGCTATATAGGTGGTGGGCAAAAGTAAATATCCCATTAGAAGAGCTAACTATCATGTCCTCAGCAATGTCCAGAGAAGTGAGTTTCCCAAGAACTGTTTTTAGTTCCTTTGTGGATACCAAAGATCAGTACATTTCCTAATTAATTGGTATAATACATAGTGATTATTCTGAAAAACTATCCCATCCCAGTGATACATAGTCAGAGATGAAAAAGTGATTCAAAGCTCCTGGCTTCATGAAATTTCCATTGAGAAAAATATTAAAAGGTAATAAAGCTATTCAGTTGTCATTATTGCTATTGGGTGTGCCCTTGAGTCAGTTCTGACTCAGTAGACACTCTGTTTAGGGGTTCTGAGGAATGGTTGATGGGCTTTTACCTCCGACTTTACAGTTTCAGTCCAGTGCTTATATTACAGTGCCACACCAGGACTCCAGAACTGTTCAACTATGAGCTTTAAAAACAGAGTCACCATTTATTACATGTATGACTTTGAACAATTCCTGTGGTCTATTTGTGATGTGTTTCCTCATTTGTACAATGAGCATGATAGTACCTTAAATTTGTGGTCAGATTAGTAAGACTATTTGATGAAATCAATAATGAAAAACACCCTGCACAATAGTTGAAACACAAAAGACATTTGAAACATGGTAAGGGATTGCTACTTTGCAGATTTAACAGCATGAAATTTTACATTTACCAAGCAATTTTCTAGACTGTCGCTATATTTCTTGACGTAGGCTACAGATATAAAGAGAAATGCCTTAGGAATGTTGTAAACATTAATCACTCTTCGGCGTGTCACCACATGCATGTAATGCTCTTAACATGCCAGATGTTCCTCGTCTCTGAGGAAGTGCAGGTATCTTGAATATTGTACCTAGCCTTATTCACCTTGTAAATTTTCACTTCTTGATAAAATGCAACTCAGACACTAGCTCACTATGGAAACCATTTTTTTTAACCTTCTTAAACCAATTATCTCTTAGACATTGCTTCATTAATATGCTTTCCCATTTCCATCTTAGCACTTTTATTACTTTATAGTCATCATTTGCTACCTGTCTCTGTCCCCCTGGAAAGTGGGTGATTTTTTTTTTCCCTTCCTATTATTTCCATGTTTTCAAATTGCAATGTTATATGTGACACAAGACTTTGGACTTAGAGTTGAATATCAGATTTTGCCCAAAACTATCTCTATGCTCAGAGTTCCTTTATATTTTTTCTATTACTCAGATTTCTTATTTTAAAATGAGACTAATAGTTATCAGGACACAAACTTCTTGGAAAAAGTAAATAAAATTATAGGAAGAGTGCTTAATAAAAGCCCTTGATCATAGTCAATTAGCTGGAGTTGTGGTTACTGACTCCATCGTCCTCATCTTCACGATCATTACCATTATCATCAAAGGCATAGCAAATGAAGAAGAATGTGGACATTGTTAATTCCATATTGGTCAGAAATGCTAGAGGGCAATGAGTTATAGACAAGTTCTGGAAACAGACTGTTTCCTTTTAAATTCTGTCTTCACTTTGTGGTATGAATTGAATTGTGTCCTGAACAAATAAATAAATAAAGATATGTTGAAGTCCCTAATCCCTATGAATTTGAACTTGCTTGAAGAAATAATATTTTTTCTATAGATTTTATCAGTTAACAGGGTCATATTGGAGGAAGGTGAGTCCTAATCTTAATCCCTTCTGAGCAGTGTTTTATAAAAAAGAGACTAGAACCATATACACAGAGGGAAGACAGATGTCATGTGCCAAGAAAGGCAGATGAACCTATAATCAACAAATCAATGCCAAGGACTGCAAGCAGCCACCAGAATTTATAGAAAGGTTTGGCACAGCTTTGCTTTCAAAGCCCCAAATAGGAATAGATACACATTTCCTATCATTCGAGCCCCTCTTAGGCAGCATTTCATTAATACTCTGTATACATTAAACCTTTACTTTTTAATATGTATTACATTATAGCTGCTCTTAGGAACCAAGGAAATTTTATGAAATTAATAAATAGCTTATCTTCTCCAATCCAGAGGAAATAGATATAATATGAACAATAACAATAATATTACCTACCATATAAGGATGTTTTGAGAATTAAATTAGAAAACACATGCAAAGCTCACAATAGGTACTGAATAATGCAATATCTAAGTCAAATAATAATAAAAAAATTTAGATTTTTAAAAATATTTGTAAAGAGTTATAGATAATGCCTTTGATTTTTTTCACCCTTTTTTGATTGAGATTTCACCAAGTCTTAATACATTTCCACAGCTGACATTCTCCCTTCTAAGGCATTTGCCCATTTCAGTAATGAGGATGATTAAAGAATCTTCAGAACTATCCTGTAGAGAATTTTAAATTCTCTTCTGGAATTCATTTCTATATTCATTTAACACTTGGTCATAATTGGTTTTCATCATTTTATGATATGAGAAACACAGAGGTCAAATTGATCTTGGATGCTGTGAGGAATGGATGGCTTTGAAAGCACACACATTTCTCTCTTGTATTTGCAAACCACATATTCCCAGACTGCATTTCAAATGACATTTCCTTTCAAAGCACATATAATAATAAATAATAATTTCTATGGTCAAGCCTAGACATATATATTCAAAACTATTTAAAAATGCAGGGGAATTTCCATGCTAATCCACTGAGGCAAATGAAATGACATGTCCTTTGTTGCTGGGAAAATGAGTTTTCAACTCACCTGAAGGTTGACTTTAATTCCATCCAGTTCTCTTGATGTTTTTGTCAGCTGACGGAGAATGGTGCTTCGTTCCTTAAACACTTCTTTCAGCTGCTTTTCTAGCTCTTCATAGTCCTGTCTAACACAGAAAGAAAAAGCATGAGAGCCCCCCATAAATGCTTTCACTCAGCAGTAGTCACTTTGACATAATTCCTAGTACTCAATATTTAGTAAAATCTAGATCATTTAAACCTTAATTAATATGCTGTTCCTTGTTATTTTTTCTTCTAAAAGGAAATTATAAAACCAGTTTTATAACATAAGTTTTGCTATACAGTGAGTATCATCTAGACCCAGAGAGACGCCAATACAATACCATGCAACCTTCTACATAAATAATAATTTATCACATGCTTCTTGCAAAACAGACATTTCCATGGCATTACCACTCTTTATGAGCAAGGTCTTAAAACCTAAATGCAAGAAATATAATTTGGCTCAATGTACCACAGAGTCATAGGTGTTGATATTGGGGCAACAAATCTTAAAAGTAGAATCTGAGCAGAGTCAGGGTCTTTGCCTGGTTAGTAGGGAAGAATATTCCCTTCCATACATTCAATCTGAATCTCACTCTACTAAGGAGGTATTGAGAAAACTAAAATCTCTATGAAAATCAGTAAGTAAATATAGTAATCACATTGAAATTTCAACAAACTTATAAATAAGACCATGAACGACTTATTTATCCCAATATTTAATTTACATGCATTTCATATACACCACCATTTCCCTCATTTTTCTCACATAAAAATTGCAAATTTATAATAAGTATGATTTTTATTTTGCAAATATAAAATTAGGTGGTTACTAATGACACTACTGTTCTTGGCTTACCCAAATATTGGGCAACAATCTTTAAAGGCACAAAAGTGAAGTAACAGGCTTTAGTGAAAGATAAATTGAATTTTATCTTTGTAGGAAAACGACTTGAATTATGCTTTTTTATTTACTTGTAGAATGCAATTGTAACACTGATCTCACTCAGATGTTTAGGAATATTAAGTAGGGAAACTTATTAAGTAAAAATTCTAACCCATTATAAGTAGTTAAATATATAATTCATATTAATAAAAGTTTTAATATATGCTGGCGATCATGTTGGTCTATTGGTGAGTGGAAGTGGGAAAAAGCAACAATGAAGATATGGGCTGAGCCCGACCATGTTCCATAGACCCCTGTTGACCTGGAGATGAGAGAGAGAAGAGGTAGGGCAGGATGCTCTAAAGAATGGTGAGACCTGGGGTTTCCTGAACCCATTGACAAGGACATAGCCATGGAGGGTGAGAGCTGATGCATTCAGCTGATAAGAAGTGACGGGAGATGCCCAAAAATGCCCAAACTTGCAGATCGGACCCATTTGACCTTGCTTCAATGGCTTAAAGATCACAAGTCCACTAAAAGAAGATTAAAAAAAATTGATAAAGGAAACAAGTGTAAATTGCTACAATTTGATAAACTTGACCTATACTTATGGATGTTGTTGTTGTTAGGTGCCATCCAGTTGGTATGGACTCATAGCAACCCTATGCACAAAAGAACGAAACACTGCCTGGTCCTGGGCCAGCCTCACAATTGTTGTCCTGCTTGAGCCCATTGATGCTGCCACTTTGCCAATCCATCTTGCTGGGGGTCTTCCCCTTCTTCTCATACCCTCCACCTTACCAAACATTATATCTTTCTCCAGCAATCTGTCCCTCCTGACAATATGTCCAAAGTATGAGAGATGATGTTTGGCCATCCGGTCTCCAAGGAAGACTCAGGCTGCACTTCTTCCAACACAGATCTATTTATTCTTTTGGTAGCCCATGGCACTTTAAACATTCTCCTCCAACACCATAACTCAAATGCATCATTTCTCTATGGTCTTCTGTATTAACTGTCAAACATTCACATGCATATGAAGTTATTGAAAATACCATGGCTTAGGCCAGGCATACCTTAGTCCTCAAGCTGACATCTTTGGTCTTCAACACTGTAAAAAGGACTTGTGCAGCAGATTTGCCTAATGCAATACATCATTTGATTTATTGATTGCTGCTTCCATGAGTGTTGATGGTTGATCCAAGAAGAACAAAGTCCTTGACAACTTAAATCCTTTCTCTATTGATGAGAATGTTGTTTATTGCTCCAGTGGTGAGGATTTTTGTTTTCTTTACATTGAGATGCAATCCAAACTGAAAGTTGTGGTCTTTGATCTTCATCAGTAAGTAACTACAGATATAGTAGCTCAAAATACCAACTGATAGTGAAGAAGTCTTCATTCTCTCCCTTCTGTATGCAGGAGTGATAGGGATGGGCAACTTAGACACTGGCTACCTAAAATGTGAGGGATATATGTTTACAAGTTCTCAAGAGGGAGTTTAGTTTCAGAATATGCAGGGAAAGTAGAATACCTATTGAATGGTTATCTTCTTGTCTAGATGAGTCTGGTGAAAGGAGATGGGGATAAGATTCTTGATTCAATAATGAGTAGTTGGTATCATGAATAATTGTTATTGTCACAACTGTAAAGGTAGAAGTGTTGTAACTTAAAGAGGGCAGTAGTTAATCTTACATTCCAGGAAAAGAAGACCCTAAACCATCAAGGGAGAAGAGCATGAGCAGAATGTGAGTCTTATCCAGAGAAGCAGTGACACCAGAGATGGAAGCAGAGATGAGGACATGGAGAGAGGGAATAGCTGAGGACTCTAGACTCATGAAAAGAGAAAGAATGTTTGCTGGTGACCAGGAGGTAGGCTTGCTGAATGTGCCCTTTGGGTGTTTAAATGATTATGCATTCCTGGGTGTTTTGGTGTACATCTCACCACCCTCTGACACCCCAAGAGAAACACAAAAACAAAAACCCTTTGATATACTTTATATTATGTTTGAAAACAAAACAAAACAAACTATGACTGGTCATAGTGATGATACAAAATGCTCCTATAATAAAAGAGTTTGCTACTACAAGTCTTCATTTTTCTCTATGTTTAAAAATGTAGGTCTTTAGCCCTTTTCACATTTATGTTTGAAGTAAATTGAAATGGTTCACTGCTAAGAAAAAAAAAAGTATTTTACTGGTCTTGTTATTTTCACTGCCATACAGTAATCAGCTCCTTATTAAAGTCCCAGGTTTCCTTTCATTCTCAGTAGTCAAGTCAAATAATGAATGGCAAGGCACATTTTCATTTTCTTCCAATTATGTGACCTCAAGCCATGCCTAGTTTTGGTTGTTGTTGTTGTTGTTGTTGTTGTTGTTGTTTTTTACCATGAACAAATCACAATAACAGATAATATTTATTGACCATGTTTAACATGTAAGATGAATATATATATATTTGTTGTTGTGAAGTGCAGTTCACACACACACAGACCCATACACACATATATAAAAGGAGTTCTGGTAGCATAGTGGTTACGAGTTGGGCTGCTAACCTCAAGGTTAGTAGTTCAAAACTGCCAGTGGTTCTGCAGGAATAAGGTGAGGCTTTCTGCTTCCATAAAGATTTACAGACTCAGAAACCCTATACAGGGTCACTATGAGTCAGAAGTGACTACACTGCACAT